GAACTTTACTTTTGGATCTCTCGAGTCAGTGAACGCTATCCCGTCTTCAAATTCACAAAGTCTTTTGATTTCTCTACAAGACTCCTAGTTGTTCTTTAGAAGTTGGCCAACTTCTAAGCTTGAAAGGTCGCAAACGTAAACGCTACCGTCTAGACCGACTGCTGCAAAGTAAGCCCTTTGTCTAAGAACTTCCATAGATATGATATTCAAAATGCTAATCGGGTAGATCACGAGTCTTAATCCGGTACTAGCAATGCCAACTCTATCGTAGTGTAATGTCACTTGTATAATTCCTCTCTAGGCATCGTCTGCACACAACAGAATGTTTTCACTTGCAGCACAGATTGAAGTTGGTTTTTCTAATGAAGGGCGAACCTGGACAAGCCTCGGGTTTCCGAACTCAGCGGCTTCGAGTTTCCGAACTCATCACTTAAGATATCAAGGAGGCGATGCGAACAAAATGGTATATCTCTGCGATTATTACTGTGAAGCCATGAGGTGCGTAAGAAGTGTTGCACAATGTAATTCGAGCCAGCTAAGAACCTCTATTAAATCACACCAAGCCAGAAAATGCCCAACAGACAAACATTATGAAATAGGACCAGTCAGTCGCATCACTGCGACTCTATAGGATTTGACTTTTTCATAGTCACTTTGACTATGTATTTATAATCTACGTAAAACGTAATGTACATGAATTAAAGAATGAGGAAATTCTGACGGCGCTTATAAGTCGGCATCTAATGGGCGTTTTATAATAAAGAGTGGGCCATTAACTGTTATATACCTATACCAATACCAAATACCAAACCACTCTAGTACAGAGCGTTTAATTCGCTTCCTGTTCCAGCCAGCATGGTCGGAGGCTCCAAATTCCATTGCTCGTCCGTAGTTAACGCAACGTTATCGCTCTTGCCGCCTGATTTCGGAGCCATGTGATAAAGTTTCACATCAAAATCTCCGAGGCGATATTTACTAGACAACTCCTTTAGACCAAGGAACGAAGTAATGCGCTTTTTCAGCGCCACTACGGTTTTAATATCTTTGATAGGAATGCACCTTCTGAGACGCTCAAATGCCATTTCCGACTCAATTCGGTAAAAAGCTTACAACAGCTCTTAAAATACCAGCATTCACGGCCATCGCGCAAGTTGATGATCGAGTTGGATATCAAAGATCATCTAACTGATATGTGACACATGACCTTGATATGGATGGCACATGCGGTAATTATTAACGAAAAAGGACACTCTGGGGTACTCCTACTGATATGTAATGGAAAATGTACTTTCATTGAACAAAGTAAATCAACTGTCCTTATTTTACATCCAGCCTTAGGATATTTAAGGCGATCCGGGCTTTTGTCAGTTGTCAGTAAGAGCCCACCACAAAGGTGAGTTGTCAGTTAGTTTTTCAGCGATTTGTCAGAAGTCGATAAAAATTTTGGCCCTTTGTCAATTGTCAGTTAACCCCATCCAGACCCTTTGTTAGGGCTGTTCGGGCCTGGATGATTCAGGATAAAATGAAGATAAACGACGGTAAAACGGAATTCGTTGTAATAGAGATCAACCAACAGCTTAACAAAATTCGCATTGATTCGTTACTAACGCCTCTATCGCTGGCAAGGAACTTAGGAACTTATTTCGATTACAATATTAGTTGAACTCCTCATATTAAGTACACTTGCATGTAAAGCAGTATTATTCCCAATGCATAACATGAAAAGAGTTAGGAAATATCTTTCAATAGACACAACTAAAATTTTGGTTTACGCCTTCAATAAAAGTAAGATAGACCACTGTAACAGGCTGTTCTATGGTCTGCCCGCCAAGTCAATCAGCAAGTTATAGCTATATAGCTATAACGGGTAAAACGCGGGGGCTGGGCTGGCAACAGGGACACCTAGGTTCTCTCACATTACCCCGGTTTGGTGCTTCCTCCACTGGCTGCCAGTCATAGAAAGAATGCAATTTAAGCTTCTAATTTTAACTTTCGAGGCCATTTACAGGCTGACACCATCCTATATTTCTAATTTAGCTCAAGTAATGCAGCCTAAGGCGTACTCATTACGTAGAAATAATAGGGAACTTAAGAAACGACGACGAAGGAACGACGACGACGACGCCGCTTTACATCCGAGAAAGACTGGACCGAGGGTTTGGTTTTCGAAGGGAGAATTTTAAGGTTAAGCTGACGATCTGGCGGGAAGACGACGGCGTCTTCAGTCATTATAAATGTTGTTTGGCAATGACGCTCAGAGCCTTGTGCAATTCGCTTACAATAAGCTACCACGATGATTTCATTGATGACGAACAATTTGTTCTTCTTTACGACTCTCATTCTACAAAAGACCTTGGTTTTCCTTATGATGTTCATGGTCTGTCGTCCACTGAAAGTACTTGTTTGTCGATTTGAATGCAATAAAAAAACATATCGAGACAATCAAAGAAATAGGTGCCAATTTGGTGCAAAGTTTTCTCAGAAAAGTTTCTCGAAATACACGGCTGTCTTAGTGGCTTACGTTTTCTCGGATTCTTCTGCCAGGCACGAGGTAGCCATGTAAACACTGCTGGTCAAATGTGGATGTAAAATGAGTAAAAACTTCAATCTGAAACGAGCTATTCGACATAAAAACGATCTATTCGACATGTAAGACTCTTCCAGGCACACAGCTTCCAAAAATCAGTTGAAATCCCCTGAAAAGAGCTTCAACGACACAAGTTTTACCTGCGTTTTCCCCAGAACCGCTTTATCTTACAAATTCGTCGTCGACGAACCGTGGACGACGAAGTCACAAACAAAGACATGGGCAGCACGCGCATCTGTGCAAATCCAACTTTCGGTCGTCGTCGTCGTATCTTAAGTTCCCTAATGACGTCTTAGCTAAACCTTTTAATGGTATTAACAAGAAAATACTTGGCGACAGGGCTTTCGCAGTAGCGGTACCAAAGCTTTTTAATGCTCTTCCTCGCGAAATTAGACTCGAGTAGAATTTTCAATACTTCAATTTAAGACCTCAGTTAAAACGTTTTTGTATAAGTCCGTGTATGGTTAATACCATTTGCATATAATCTTATTTTTATTATCCTTTTCACTACAATGTAAACTAAGTAAATAAATCTATTTATTATCCAACTACACCTAGACGAGTACAAATAACGCCATAGACGAGTACAAATATCACGCGGTATTTGTACTCGTCTACTGTAGTACCGGTTAAACAGGTTTTCTCGCATCGCGCAAGCGAAGAATTGAATTGTAGTTACGAAAAAAAAAAACAAATGGCGGACAGCCTGAATCATATTTTCCGACGTCAGAATGGCTGGCAAATATAGATCCAAGTTCATTAAATGAATCGAACGAAGAAAAAAAGCTTGGCGACCAGAAAATTTCTTCATTTAATGAAGAAAATAGAAACAGCAGCACAACAACGCGCCAATTTCGTTCCGCTTCGCATACTTCTGTCACGCACTCCCCGTAAATAAACATCCGCGAAATTCGCCCGCACTGCACTAACAGTTTGGCGTGTTGGATAATA